GGGGGGGGCAACATGCTGCCCATCCACAGAGCTACAGGGGGACAAATTCGGTACAGAGCCGCCGTATATTTCCACGAATCAATTTCCAACGTTCTTCGGCATTGGCAGACCTACTCGGTTCCCAGGATAGGTTCATAGTGCTCTGTCTCATTTTGTCATAATCTGTCTTCCAATATGTCGGCTTGTAACATCTACGCATTGACGGCGATCCGGATATGTGGAATCTTGCTAACACATTAGCATGATCACTTGTGGCGAGGGGTGCAGAGACTTGAACATCAGATAATTTTGTGTGGCCATTTGTGAATATCATATCCAGACATGAGGCCATACCCGAATCAGCCGGGCAACATGTTGTACGAAATGTGATCCGTTTGCCGTTTCTAGCAACGCGCTCTCCGTCTCAGCGGCAGAACCTTCTAGAATTAGATGAGACCAGTTGAGATGTGGGCAATTAAGGTCACCAACAATGCAGACTCGCGAACTTTTGGCATACTTCTTGACTGTAGTCAACTAGCTGATACCGTTAGCTTGAGGGCTTCGATATATAACACCCACGGTTGCAGTTGCACCAGTGGCGCCCTTGACCGACAACCAGAGTTGTTCCACACGGTTGTCTTCGATGCGTGCGCGTTCTAGCATTAATACCACTAGGCCGTCAGTAGCATATACCAAGACACCCCCATGTATCCTATTATTACGGTTGCAGCGGAAGACTCGGTACCCAGGTATAGCGATCTCACTATCTTTTACTGACTTGAGTAGCCAGGTCTCCGTCACTGCAACAATCGCATGGCGCTGCTGTTCAATAAGTACCTGTATTTCAGCCAGTTTATTAGGTAGACTTTGCGTACTTGTTAGCGGAATGCCTACAGCTCTATCAGAGCTTTTTGGACCAATAGTAGTAGTGGTTTGAACGGGGGTCTACTCTTCTGGACAACCCGAAAATTTGTTATTCGGAAGTTATTTTCTCCCTCAGCACGACGTTGTTTCAGTTCCGCGACTGCCTTGTGCTGTTTTATTCTGTCCTCAGGCGACAGGTCTGCCTGCAGCGATATATTGCTGCCTCCGAGCTTCCAGCCACGGGTTAGCAGTGGTTTTGAAGTTTGCTCGGACTAAGAGACCGCCTTCAGTGGTCTAGGCCGTCCGCTTTCTGTAGGTTTCGCAAACAGTCTGAAGAGGTGAACACACGATACTCGGTCATCGCTTGGGTCCAGCATTTTTAGAATGACGTTGCTCATTTATTTTGAGTTATGCTCAACACATGTTTCCACATTGAGCCCCTCTGAACATTAAAGAACAGCAGTGCCTTCTTTCGACCATTTTGTTCAGTCGATGCTTTAGTGATCGATTGAGCATCCTTCGACACTTCCTGCGCTTTTGGTTGTCGTTTTCGGCGTTAGTCATCCTGCGTGGTCGTCGCTTACTGTTATATGAAGTACGAGGTGTGTTTCTCTAGTTTCGGATTTTCCACTGGTGCCGCCGTCGCCGTCGCCGGTGGCGTCGTCGCACCATGTTCCGAGTTGCCTGAGTCCGTCTTCTCAAATTCAGGCTGATTTCTGTCCGCCTCCTGGGATTGGTCTGCCTCTTGTGACTCGGTGTTTGTGTCAACCGCGTCCTCGCCAAGAAAACTTACCTTGCATGTGCTGCAAAATGGAACGAGCCCTTCCGAGTCAAATTTCTTGAGCACTTCATATATTTCTGGTGCTATTTTCGCACATTTTATGTGCACCCATTGTTCACCTAGGACACAGAAGACAGCCTTGCTCCTGCCAGTGACG